CATTAACATCACTGTGACTGCCATCAATGGATTCTGCATTCTCATCAACACACTCATAGACAGCATTCCTAACATGATTTTGTCTCTCAGCCATCAGGTATCCTTTATATTCTCTAGTCCATGATGAAGGACAGCTGGTTCTAGCAGGAATCATCAGTTTAACACTCTTAGTAGATGTATAACATACTGCACAAGGAACATTGTGATCATGCTTTCCTGGAAATATATTATTGACATAGTCATATTCAGAACCATACATGTAAGAATATGCAAAAGGTACATTTGTACTCATATATTGAGGGACCTTTGGTAGACAGACATAGTTAGCTCCTCCTCCTGATTCAGCATAATGACTACCTCCAGCTATTCCCTCATACAGTAGTTGAGCTCCAGTAGGACAGGACTTCCTCCCCCAACGAGTGTACACTACTCCTCCACTTTTAGCACTAGTTGCTCCAGTTTCTCCTTTCTCTCCTTTCTCTCCCTTATCTCCTCTCTCTCCTTTCACTCCATCTCTTCCTGGTACTCCATCACGACCATCTCTACCACGTAATATTTGAAGATATACTGATCTTACCAGAGTATCATTAACCTTCTCTTCAGTAATTAGAGAAGGTGATCCTCCTACATAAACTACATAAATAATCATAATTTCATTGTTCATTCTTTACCTTCATTAGTTGCTGCTGTACTTATTGTTGCAGCCACTAAAAGAACAGTCAAAGCTAGTACTTGCATTATTTGATAAATGACAAGATATTCTATTGTAATGGATCACTCCAGCCTACCTCTATTTATATCATCATCAAATCTCTAGCTAAGGTTTGAGGATGAATTATCAAAGAGAGACTATCAAGCAGTCCCATCTTTGATATTCTTTATAGGCAGTTCTTATGGTTGCAACTCCCTTGTTGTTCCCTGCCTATTGGGTTGAACATATTCTTTCATCCTGGTTTTTGGTTATAGAATGGTTGATACAATGAGGCTAGCTGTCTTATTGGGAACTGCCTCTTCCCTTTGTTAGCTATGGAATGGTTGATGCAATGAGGCTAGGGTATGTTGTTAGGAACTGCCTCAGCCTCTCCTCTCTGTGTTGTTAAACTGACACTCCTCTTCTTCTTATGGGTTCCCACTGATGGTTTCTTTTTATGTGCTAACATCAAAAGGCATTGATGTCTACCTAGTGGTCTGAAGGCATGTCTTATGGACATTGAACCTTGTGAAAGTTTGATAGTTCATTACTATTGCTTTACAAAAGCCCCATTTTTTTGGCTGCAGAAATTGAAGTGTCATTTTTATTAATATTTATTGTAAAGGAACTTTGATAATCATTTCGTCAATTTTCGTGTAATTTCATTTTCAATTTATTTTTAACATTATTCATTAAGCAAATTATCAAAAAATGAAAAATTTCCTATGCAGTCACTTTTTGTGTTCATTCACCTGTTCATTGTTCTTCATTACTTGGTACACACAACACAAGTAATGACCCTGTCAACAACATAAGGTGGGCAGGGTAGGCCAATACAGGTTGTTCGTATGAAATAGAACAAAGCACCATTAACATTAGTGTGACTACCAGCAATGGATTCTGGAGCCTCATCAACACACTCATAGACAGCATTCCTAGCATGGTTATATTTGTCAGCCATCAGGTATCCTTTATATTCTCTAGTCCATGATGAAGGACAGCTTATTTTAGCAGGAATCATCAGTTTAACACTCTTAGTAGATGTATAACATACTGCACAAGGAACATTGTGATCATGCTTTCCTGGAAATATACCATTAACATCTTGATATTCAGAACCGTATATGTAGGAATATGCAGGAGGCACACGTATACTCATATATTCAGGAACCTTTGGTAGACAGACATAGTTAGCTCCTCCTCCCTGATGAGAATGACCACTACCTCCAGTTATTCCCTCATACAGTAGTTCAGCTCCAGTAGGACAGGACTTCCTTCCCCACGAGTGTACACTACTCCTCCACTTTTAGGACCAGTGT